TGTGCTTTTGTGTGGGTCCTAATTTTTTATTGAATTCTAAACATCTGGTAAAGAATAACAGTAGAACTGAAGTAAATTTTATTTATACCTGAAAATGGGCAATGCTCTTCTTCTGTTATACTATTAGTATTTAGGGTTGATGCAATCTATTCAAGATTTGAGCTTTATTTGTGTTTTGTTGTTGCTATCATTATCATCAGGGCACATTACACTTCAAAATCCTCAAGTGGTTACCTACTATTTTCTGTATTTACAGTGAAGTCTGTGATTCCAGAGTTTTTGTTTGTTTGTTTTGTTTTGTTTTTGCTCTATATACCTGCTTTTTTTTTATTGTTGTTTGTTTGTTTGTTTAAAACTAAATTTATGGAGTGACATTGGTTTGCCTATACCTAATTCCCTCTCAATACTTTTGTCTCTCCCTCGGCATACTTTGTTCTTCTTTATTATTAAAAATAGACTCTCTTTTTTGTAGTAGGGTAAAGGGACTTTTGTTGTTGTTGTTGTTGTTGTTGTTGTTGTTGTAATGATCAACCATAGTCCTAGGCACACTGTGTTCTTAAGCCTCAAGATTGGAATTTAATAAGAATCCCTGCCTTTCTACATGTGCCTTTTATTTGCAGTCTTGTATAGGAGAATTTTCTGTACCTCTTCCTTGTGGTATTTGATCTCTAATTGGTATCCATGTAGGATCCAGGACTCAAGACAGAGTCTGCCCCTTGCTGGAGAAAAGGTTTTTGATTCTATTTTTCCTTCATCAGCAAAAGATATTCAGCTATGTCCAAGTCTTCCCCAGAGGCAAACTGCTTTTCTTTCTCTTCCCCTCCCCCAAAAGCAAGATTTTTAGTTTTTGGCCTGGGATCAGGGTAATAGAGGGTCTTCTGACCCTCCTAGGGTCATTATTTTCCTAGGACCATCATACAGCAGCTTAAGGCTTTTACTTCTTATAAGAGGAGGCTTCACAGAAATAGGCAGCATTTTGTGCCTGCCCCACAGACACAAATAGATGCCTAAATTGCTCCACCACTGAATGGACCTTCATTTTCCTACATTGCCTTCAGGATTTCCCCTGAACAGGTGGTAGGTGTCCACGGAAAAGAGCTTGCAAATGAAATGTCAACTTTTTGAATTTCCAAATAATTCAAATTGACATGCTAGCTCATACCTAGCTTTTAAGAATTTGTTGCCCTGGCCGGTTTGGCTCAGCGGTTAGAGCGTCAGCCTGCGGTCCTGAGAGACCAGGGTTCGGTTCCTGCTAAGGGCATGTACCTCGGTTGCAGTTTGTCCCCGGCCCTGGTCGGTTGTGCGGGTGGCAGCCACTCGATGTGTTCCTTTCATGTCGATGTTTCTCTCTCTCTCTTCCTCTCTCTCCCTCCCACTCTACCTGAACAAAAGATGGAAAAATGTCCTCGGGTGAGGATAAAAAATAAATAAAAAAAATTAAAAAAAAAGAATTCATTAAAATTTTAGCTGATTTATTTTTACCCTCGTATATAATTACCACCTCTTTCTCTTGTGCTCTGCCAAAAGTCAAAGACTGTATGCCCTGTCTCTCCTTGAAACAGTCCATAAATCTTTGGCATTCAGTATACTTGGTTACCTGGTGACCTCAAATCTCAAATGTAGTCAGAAAAAAATAATGATTTTGTGTATTATCTGCCTTTCTTCATTGTTATAGTGGGACCAAAGTTGAATATTTTGAGCCAAAATGGAACTCCAAAGAATATTTTTAATATTTAAGGGACAAGCAATTTGCAATAGCACCAACTATTAAACCTGGAAATAAAATAATTCTACATTCTCAATTTGTCTTCAAACTCATTAATTGAATTAGATAATTTTCAGTATGTAATGATAGGTAGAAATTCATTAAGGTTTATATAAATCCTGAAAAATGGTAAACCATTGCATGGCTGTTTAAACACATTTTCCTTTGGTCTCCATCACAGCTAAATGAAAGAGGGGACGAAACCTTATGCTGTTTTGTTTTGTTTTGTTCTCCAGAAAGACGCAGAGGAGAAAAGTTTGCCACCAATCTTTTCCAATGCTCCAAACACTTTTAAGGTAAGCTTAATATCTAAAGTATTAGAATGCTACTCCTTTAGAGTCTATGATACATCAAATATTCCTAAGAAACGCTTGGAACCCGGCACATAAAATAATATCATAACATGAGAATCGGTTTTCATTAGCTCAAAGAGTCACAATATTCTGGCACAATTTTTAGCATAAATTCTTGATATGGGTATTATAAATTAATACAGCTATACCTCATACAATTACTCAGTTAATTGTTTTCCTCACTTAAAGCCCATGGGTAGATAAAGGCTTCCTCAAAAGTTCTTTTTGTGGTAAGCATTGTATGTCTTCTTCCACCTTATCCAGGTGACAACCTGTCCAGGGTCAGAGGTTTATTTCAAAACCACAGCCCCAGCTCTAAACCTTTCTCTACCTGTACCAACTAGTTTAGATCTAAAATGTCACCATTTGTCCTATTGTGAGCAGTAAAACCCATCTCCATTCCTAAATCTCGTCTGATTATTTCCCCCAGGCCAGGCCATTGCAACATAGATGTTGAAGCTACTACTCTGGCCTTAAATTCCTTCTTTAAATTTTTGTCACTCAGAGATTTATTTTATCTTTGTGTCAGGCTAAGCTATGCATTTACTTTTTTTTTTATAGTTCATCTATGGTGTGTGTGTGTGTGTGTGTGTGTGTGTTTCTCAGCACAACAGTTGCTAGAGCTAGAACCCACATTGCATTTCCACATATCTGAAGACTGTGTCTACTTGGTTGTCCCCTGGGAAGCTCAAGTTCTGTGTATAAGAACTATAAGCATAACAATCCCACCAGAAAGGTCATCATTTTGCCTGTGTTTTCTGCCATAATTAATGGAACCCTATCTTCTTGGTTTCCTAAGAATGAGGTTTAGCTATCATGTAAACCTTTCTTTTGGTCCTGACATCCAAGTAATAGGCAAGTTAATTCTACTATTGCAGTATTTCACTTGACATAGTCTAGCAATCTTCATGATATGTGAATGTAATGAGTACAAGATTTATCGTTCAGAATTTTTTTGAAGATTAAATGAGATAAATAAATCAGGTAAGAAACACTGCAAGTCTAGAATGAGAGATGGAGTAAATTAGCTACCAACTGACACAAGTCAACCAGCTTTGGCACTTTAATTAGTATTTCATGGATTTCCACAAATTCACATATGTCACTTATATACTTAGAAGGTATGAATGAAACCTAAACCTAGTAACATTCTCATAATATTTATAAGTTCTTAATTTTCATTTTATTCATTATCTGGGGGAGAATCAGGATTTTAACACATAACACATAATCAGGATTTTAACTCAAGACAAATAGAAAGTGCACTATACTGTCTGAATGAGTATATTAACTGTATATTAATAGTTAGGCTGCTCTCTTATGTAAAAATCCAATCTGTCGAGTTCAGTCTCAAAGGTGGTACCCCAAACTAAGTTTCAGTTCACATTATATACATGAAAAATATGGTGGGACTCTTAACTTTCTAGTTATGGAGAGTATATATCTTTCAATAATTAATTTGATAATGAAGTAGATCTGGCCATGATGCCACAGTGTTGGTTCACAGGGAGGTCACACAGAAATCAAACAGCTGGCTTCTTTTCTTGTGAAAGGCTCATCCAGTTTTCTTTCCTGTGTTGTAATTGAGTGGTTGTATTTTCTTAATCTGTAACAGACAAAATGTATCCCAGTTAGATAACATCTCCTTGCTTTAAGCTCATTAATCGCATGTGCTAACAGTTTGGAGATTCTGATTATGTCTTTCACAGTATTAATTAGCTAGTCTTCCCAGGTTTTTGTCATCTGTTTTCAGTGTTTATAGAATCATTTGTAAGAGATACTGGAACATATTAAAAATTGTTTTTGCACAGAAGAAAAACAATGCTATTCCCCTAATATAGTACCCATTTTGTGTCTGTGTATTGATAAATTTTGGGAAGAAAATAATCTAGAATGAGTACAGCTAAAATCTTTTTGGGGTTGTGAATCCACATCTCCATGTGAAAACAAAATTTTTTCCCATACTTTTTGAATAAACTGTTCTAATCCTTCATCAAAATGACTGTGATGCTGGTGACTGAGCAGACATGTATTGAAGAGCCACCATCATTAATGATATAGACAGAACACATAAAAATACTGTAGAGTGAAAGACGATTAACACAGAATTAAAGAAGAAAGATATTTTTCAACATAGTTACTGATAACACATAGAAAAGAATAAGGTCAAAATAGAGCAGATTTTTGTAATGAACGTTAATTTAAGAATATGTAAAAAAATGAGGGGGAAAAAGACTAATGAAAAGCTCTTAGAACTGTGATCATGAAATCTGTGCATAACTATTTAAAGTACAGTCAGTAATTTTGATTTTAAGAAGAGTAGGTCACTACTGTAAACAATATTTGTCATCAATTTTTCTGAAACATCCGTTGCTGCAAAAATAGTATAATCAAATAATTTTCAAACACTCCAACACCAAACTTCATTGTCCCAAGTTTGGTCTGAACTCTGAAAACCCGAGTTTTAATAATTGTGCCCTCTTACACACTGCTTACCAAAACAGATGCATTCTGAAACTTTATATGAGTCTGCTGTTGTCAGTTGCCTTGTTTTTAAAGTATTTTGCAGAAGCCAAACACACTCTCCCCCTCCCTTTCTCTACCCCATCTCCCTCTCTCCCATTTTATTTCAGATAATGTTAAATTAGAGTCAGAGCTAACATATATCATCTTAATAGTCCTACTTTTGAGTACTTACTCAATGCAAATTGTAGACTGTAGCTCAGGCCATAGGATTTAACCAGTCTTGAACATCTCTGTACACCAGCATAAACAACCGCATTTTATTCCATTTCCTCTTCATGGCAAGAGAAGTTGTTTAAAGATAAATTAGTGTCCTCTGAATTTCAATAACTATAAACTATGACTCTCTTTATCTACAGCAAAATGTGGAACATATTATTAAAGAAGTTAAAAATGTGTGCAGTGTTCTGGGATGTGTGGAGACCAAGCAAATCACAGATGCTATAAATGAACTTAATCTAATTCTTCAGAGACGATCGGAGGTAAACATCCTCATTTATTCCATAACAATTATTTTAAACCTGAGTTCAATACTTAATTAAGGAGCGTGAAAGACTGGACTAACTACTCTCTATGTGTTTGTGTGTGTGTGTGTTTGTGTGTGCATGTATATTTCAATCATTTGGGGACCACCCAAACGACTCTATTATACAAAGGGATTTAATTAAATTAAAAGGAAATTTCTTACATTGTTGAAGTTTGTGACAATAGAAATTCCAAGTGAGACTGAAATCAGTCTTACAATCTACCTAGATGAATATGCTTATATAATAATATTTTCAGCCAGTGTTTGTATAGACTAATAGTGGCTCTCATCCGCACTAGTACATGCAGGTATAAGTGTGCAAGACTGCAGAGTCAAGCACATATCTAAAAAAGAAGAGGTCAGTTTTCATGGGACCTTTTGCTAAATTTGCAATGCACACTGCTTCTACGATCCCATATTCTGTAATTATTTCCTGGGTGGGTTTTTTTTTTTTAGTTTAAACAATGAGTATTATATGATATCTTTTTGTATATTATTGTTGAAAGTATTACAGATGTCCCCTTGTTTCCCCATTGACTGCCTCCTCCTCACTCCCACCCTCTCCCTGCTTTCCTCAGCCTAGTGTCGGTGTCATTTGGATGTGCATATAAGTTCTTTGGTTTATTTTTTTAAGCTCAGAAATCTGATGTGAATGTGATTATAGCCCAAGAAAAAGAATAGGAAATTTGGTCTAGTGAATCTATTTCGTCTTATTACTAGTTTAGCAAAGGATTAAGCAGAAAAATATGATGATTGTAATGATTATGATAATAAAAATAATAAGTACTTGATAATGCATTGCAATAATAGTTTCACTAATATATTATTTTATTTAAGTTTTATTTTATTTCAACTCTTCCTGACAGCAATGCACCAGAGTAGGTATTCTAATGATCATTTCATTATTCACACAAGCACCGCTTAAGTTCCCATTATCTTAGGACCATTGATTGCAACCAGCCTCATGGCCATTGTGAGCTTTTGCCAGAGGAAGGTACCAGGTGTATGAATGTGAACACATGCTTTCTCATCTGTGAAGGCCACTCAGTTGTTCATGCATTTCTATGTCCAGTTCTCAATCAGCTGAAACAAACAACTGAGCAAAGAATGAGGAAAATCTAATTTTAGCATTTCAAATGATCTTAAGGTATTACTAGACAAAAAGCTTTATCTTTAAAACATTCATTTTCTGAAACTTCCTAAAAGAATACAAATGACAATTTTCTCTGAAATATCAAACTTTCAGTATAGCTGAAGCCAAAATTATCCTTCAAGGAGAAATTGAGTATTTTCTAGGAAAGCTATAAAGAATTATAATTCTCAAGGAAAGCTAATATTCATATTTCACATTTCTTGTATACTTATTAGCACTAAATTATAAATGGTTATTCATGCATAGAAATGAAGAAAAGAGCTGGCAATTATCAGTTTTATTTCAGATATGTCAATGACCAATATCGACAGTTCAAGATCCCCTAATAAACAGATTCTACTTACTTTGAACACACTTTAAAAGTTGGCTTATTCTACAGCATCTTCATTCAAATTTTTTGTTTATCTCTTTTTCTATTCTACCTTCACTATGAGCCCACCTACATACAAATGTTGGCACAAATAGTAAGTACATTTTACAGAATTTGTACATTAATCAACTACAGTTATCAATGCCAAAGTAGGTCAGTCTATGCACCCACGATGAGCCAAGATTAAGGAAATACTGAGACAGATGAGTCTTCTGTTAAGCAAGTCAGACTTGAGAAGCTTTACTTTCTCATTGCTACACGTTTTGGTCAACTTGTAAGAGACTATTTCCGGCCACACAGAAAGGTAATTAGGTATTTATTAAATGTAAATTTTGGCAAGATGAAGAATCATATCACAAATGCAATTGTACTCTAGTTCATGTTCCCACTCAGCACTGCAAATTTTCATCCTTCAAAACTGTATTCCAGAAGCTCACATAATGTATTTTCACTAAATGCTCATATAATAAATGAACCATAAAGTGAAAAATATGGTCATACACATTGTTCTATAGGTAGATGTCATGGTGATTTTAAAATACAAGTTATGCCCAGCCAGTGTAGCTCAGTGGTTGAGCGTTGATCCATGCACCAAGAGGTTGCCCGTTCAATTCCCAGTCAGGGCACAAGCCCTGGTTGTGGGCCTGATCCCCAGTGGGGGGCATGTAGGAGGCAGCCAGTCGATGTTTCTCTTTCTCTCTTCCTCTCCCTTCTTCTCTCTCTCTCTAAAAAATCAATAAAGAAAAAAAATTTTTAATAAAATCAAGTTATTATTTTTGAATAAATTGAATTCTATTTAATGCAGGCTAACACTTTCAATAGTCTCACACACGTGAATCGGATAAAGATCTTATGTGGAGTTGTTAAGCCTCATGGTTGAAACTATGCTCAGATGAAATATTTTACCCAAGAGAAATTCTCCTGAAAATGTTTATATCAATAATGTTTTTAAGTGAGAAGTAGTGTGTAAATTTATTTACATTTTAAACATGATGGAAGTGTTTTCTCTCTAAAGGAATGCTGGAGCAAGTTTCTTGTTAAAGGAAAACCATTATCTCCTAGTTTATTTATTTGAGAAATCAGGCTTTTCATTAATTGAATTTACTTAAAAGCAAACTTGTCGAAGCAAAATTTTAAAATATTTAATGTCATTTAAAATAGTTTTATTTAAAAATTGAATTTGCTTTTAGACTTAAGTCTTACTTTTAGTGAGTCTGTGAATCACCTTATATAGTTTTCATGATAATGAAGTTATAACCAGCAAATCCTAAACCACTAATCTAGGCCTCCTGCAAAAATAACATAAATAAATCAATAAATAGAGAAATAAACCAAAGCACCATGCTAGTGAATGAAAACTTAATGACAACAAACTAAATAAATTTCAGATAGTATTTCTTTTTTAATTTAGGATATGGTTTCATCTCCTAAAAATAAAAAAATACAAATAAAACTACATAGAGAATTTATATAATTTTGCCCACTTTCATCCAGCCCTGTTTTTGATGCAGCCCAAAACCTGCATCTGAATGACTGCTAATAATGAGAATTGAACCCACTAAACAGAGAGAATTAGAAATGCACTTATATCAAAAGATGAGTCATTGTTGTGGAAGGGGGATTGAGTTTAGGCCATGGAAAACTATTCCAATCATACTAAAAAAGCTGAGCTTATTCTAAAAATTTTTCTTTTAAAAATAAAATAACCTAGAGCTTTTTGTTCATTTTATAATTTAAATTTCTTCTGTTTAATAGGAACATTTATATATGACACCAGGAACTGTTTTGTCATTGTATCTTTCCAGAGACATTTCAGTGCTTAGATTTTGGATGTTATGTTTGACTACTTTGTGAATTTGTTTTCTGGATAACAAGTGTGTCTTGCACCTATTTTTCTTTTTTAGAATTTTCATCAAAATTCAGAGACTTCAACAAAAGGTAAAACATACATGTACCCAAAAGTTAGTTTTTAAGTTATAGAACCAAAAATAATTTAATTTTTTTCAGATTTTCTTCCAAATATTATGGTCACACAAATACATGCAAAAATTTTTTTGGGGGGATGCATTGTTAAAACTCTTTTTACTAATGAAAGTGATTATTCTGTGAGTGAAAAACTATCCACACTCTCTAAACTTTTACTCTAACATTTTTTAATGTAGGAAAAATCAGGAGATCTATAAAAATGAAAGGAATATTGAAAAATATCCTTATGACCACTTCAAGAAACTATACAATTTTCTTTAGCTAATTATATTTTGATGTAAGAATGTCAGAAAAGTTGCAGATGCTTTTCCTCAAAGTCACTAATTTCAAGTTTAAAATCAAGCTCTATTTGAAAGACCAATCTACTATAACAATAAGAACTATGTTCTGTGATATAGTATTGTTCACAGAGGCTCTGAGCTTATAAAATTGCAAGCCACAGAAGGACTTTGCCTTTATAGAAAACAGTGGATGGCCTGGCTGGTGTGGCTCAGTAATTGAGCATTGACCCATGCACCAAGAGGTCTCTGGTTCAATTCCCAGTCAGGGCACATGTAGGCCAAATCCCCAGTGGGGACATGCAGGAGGCGGCCAATCAATGTTCTCTCTCATCAATGTTTCTATATCTCTCTCCTTCTCCTTTCCTCTCTCTCTAAAATCAATAAAGAAAAGAAAAGAAAAGAAAAGAAAAGAAAAGAAAAGAAAAGAAAAGAAAAGAAAAACAGTGCATGTATGACAGTGTGATATAGAGGAAAGAGTTTGGCCTTTGGAATCAGGCAAAATTGGATTTTGAATTTCAACTCTTCCACTTTTTGACTTTATGATCTTAGATAATTAAACTTTTTGATCCTGAGTTTTCCTAAATATGCGTCAAAGATACAATAGTATTTAATGTGCAGGATGTGGTCAGGGTTGCTCTTTTTGCACAGGCAGGTGGTATTTAGCTTAGGGACACTGAATATCTTCTAGGAAACTGACTCACATATGCTCAACTAACACCCTTGAATTCAAAGGTGACAATGAAATGCAAACAGTAAGCCCGACCTATCCTCCATACCCTTAATCATTTTCTGTAGAAAGTTGTGTACAGAGGGATATCCCTTCAACTCTAATTCCCACCACTCCGAAGAAGACATTCAATTATATTTGAAGAACTGCCACTTTGTATCACAGAGGAAAATGTGATGACAGAGGACATAGAGAGAAAAAAAAAACCTGTGCTTGTGAAAACATTCCTGTTGTAGGCATTCATAAAACTTTGTAACACAGTAGAAAAAGGGAAGGAGTGGACCCTTCCCAACAATATTACTAACACAAAGTCTAAGGGATAGAATGTGGAGGGAACAAGCTGAGTTATCCCTGTGTGGAACTGGTCCTGTCTTTCTTTCTATTAGGAATGTTGGAATAAGACCCTGCACTCATATTCCTCAGAGCTTGGAATATGAGATCCCATGAAACAGCATGGGAATGTTCCCGAAGATTTATATTCTATGCTAAATCTTCATAGATTCTAATTAATACATTTTAATTGCATCAGTACTATCATTGTTTCTTTATTTCATGATACCATTACATTTTTCCCAAAGAAAAATCAAAGGTAACAAACATTATTTCTCCATATTTCACCACCAAGCCCAGTATCTTTAGTCCGCTACATTTCTAATGATGCTTAAAATGCATTCTTCATCCAGAATGCTGGAAGTAAAGTACAATGCATAAGCACACAGCTCTAGAGCACTACCTGGAAGAAGCAAATTATACCCCAAAACTGTATATCTTCCCCAAACTAAACAGTAGGGGTTGAGTAATTATTGAAATAGTTGAGTTCCCACAATATATGCGGGGGCCTGAAGGAATAAGTTCTCTGACCTAACTTTATGACTTACCTTGTGTGCACATTGTTGGCACAAGTTTGGGGATTATTAACAGGAAGTCCGTGCTTCTGCTTCAGAGCGCCAGCAGGAGGATTTGGGGGCCAGGGGACACGATATTTCTATAAACGTGTGATTCTCTACTGCCTGTTGTTCATTAGAATCTCTGTTGATTGGTCTCCTGAGTGCGATGAGGCTTCTTTTAGGACTATTTTATGCTGCTTTACTCCTCTGTCTCATTAATTGATACTGCTGATTTCTCAGAGACTTTTAATTAGAGTTCTTTCACTGAGCTTGTCCCCTAGGACTGTTTCAACAAAGGGCAGAGTTTAAAATATACAGCAATAAGTAAAATGTGGCCATCCAATAAATTTCATACAAAATTACGAATAACTAAGTGAATAATAGCCTGTGTTGAACTATACAGACGTTTAGTGATGAACAGAGCTGCGGGGACAGGCTGCAGGAAGAAGACCAAGCTGAAGCCACCCCTGCTATCCAAGTCCCTGAGCACTGGGACACTGCCGACTACCAAGGGGAAAAGCTACCTCTTTTTGTTTTTTATCCTCACCTGAAAACATTTTTTCTTTTTCTTTTTTTTTTTTTTCTTTTCTTTTCAGATAGAGTGGAAGGGAAAGAGAGAGAGAGAGAGAGAGAGAGAGAGAAATACCACGTGAAAGGGACACATTGAGTGGCTGCCTCCCACACGACCAAAGGAGGGCCTGGGACAAACTGCAACCAAGGTTTGTGCCCTTAGCAGGAACAGAACCAGGGTCTCTCTGGATCGCAGGCCTGCTCCAACTGCTGAGCCAAACCGGCCAGGGTGAAAAGCTACGTCTTTGTTCTATTTTCTTTTCAAATCAACTAGAAACCAAAAGCAACTCATGTTCAGAAACAACTTATGAGGAAGTTCATGTGTTTCAATAAACAGCTGTAATGTGCGATTCACTCGGCACACGCTGGAATCAAATCACAGAGGGTTTTAAGAACATAATTTCTAATGATGTGCTTACTTGTTCTCATAACGTCTCCTCTGCTGCCCCGGGGCTTGTGGCCTGTCGCCCTGCCCTTCCTGGCGGTGGCAGTCGTGGTGGGGGGGTGGGGAATACCTTGCGCACAGGCAGGGACACGAAGCCCTGCATGGCTGAGTCACTGGCACGGGTGGGCACGCCAGCCCAGGCCCGCCGCTCGGATCCAACTGACCCCTGTCCCAGATCAACCCGCAGAAGAGGAAGCTGGAATCTGGGTAAGAACTGGTGTCCAGGCTGGGCCACTAAAAAGCCAAGGCCACGCGGCCCATCTTCCAGCAGGCACTCCCAATACCGCTTGGACACTTCCCTGGACAAGGCCTCTGACCCCCTGAGTCTCCAACTTGAAAACTTGGGATTGAAGATTAGTAAGAGCGTCCAGTCCTCCGTGACTCAAGCTACGGGAACCACCGACATCATCAGCAAACCTGCAGGCGCTGCAGTCAGCGCAGACCTGCTGAGGAGAAGCACCCTATCCAGGCCGCCGCGCCCTGGGTCAAAGGAAGCTGGAGACCACGCAGTGGTACCAAGAGGGGTCCAGACTGAGACTGACTTTAGGAACTACATCCCCCAGGGGACACTGAGGCTCAGGAAGAAGTTAAAAGATCTACATCTGCCACCTCACATCACCCACTAACTACTGAGTGTGCCCCGCCCAGTTCCCTGGAGGGGATGGCACCACCTCTCCCTGGACGTGAGCAGCATTGCCTCCCTGGGGGCCTAGGAGCGCTCGGTACCCTCGGGGACACGAGGTTCAGGGGCCTGACAGATGTCCTGCTCCTCCTTCTTAGCCCTGTGCCCCGCTCCCCCCATGTGGGAGCCACTAAGCACATTCCTGCCCTTCGTCTTCCTTCCACAGGCCGTGCTGTAATCACATCTCATTTCTTCAGTACGAGGTGGCAGAAAAGTAGACACATGTACAATGAAGCATTTTGGTACTGCTATCTGGTCCAGGATGGATAAGGGAAACATCAGACCAGATGAGACTGATTTATTCTGCAAGGTTTTCTGCCATACTCTCATCTACCAGGACGAGACTAGGGGTTTTCAAAGGGCGTGCTTCAAGGATTGGACCAGGCCTGACAGATGCCATCACTGCGTCCCCAGCAGATGCGCACTGGGGGTCTTTGGTTCTGACCACAGCTAGCCATGGGACCTCCAGCCCCTTTCTAGATTCTGTCATCAGGCACCAGGCACAGGGGACAGACCAGGAGGAGGAAGAGAAAACCAGACATTTCATTCATAACATTTACCTTCAGACATTTTTTTTAATTTACCAAATCCCTTTTGTGGCCAAACATTTGTGAAAGATTTTTTCATCTGGGTAAAAAAACAAACACACAAAAAAAACGTTTGAGCTTTTGTATTTGAGTTTATTCTTCATTTAACTTTTAAAATACTGCTAGGGTTAAATATAAAAACCAATAATGGCAAGAGAGTATTAAAGATTATAACCTTGCACTCATTCACTACCACTTGTAAAATGCCAGCAGTGAGTGCTATTCCCCGGCCCCATTCAGAACTTTGACACTGAACACAGGCTGCTGTTCCCCATCCTCACAAGCTTCTGCAGTGCAGCGGGGCCATCTTTCCTGATTTGGATCGAAGGTCACCACCAGTTCTACCTGGTACATTTCATCAGTGTCTTCTACTTCCTTCCTCTCAGGTAGGAATTTTTGCAGCAAAGGGAGCTTATCAGGAGAAAGAAAGTCATTCTCAGGAAAGTCTACCTTACATTTCTTAATTAGGTGACCTTTTTCATATGGTCTACAATAAATTGGCCTGCTTCATTTAGCACACACTTGAAAACTGGTAGCCCCTGTACTTAGTCTTTTATTTTTTTCACTTTTCTTCCTTCATGACACTTCAAGTCACTTTTAGGAAAAATCAATAGACTCCCTATAAACAACCAGTGATAAAACTCCAGTGAAACTTTGTTTCGATTTTGAGAAGGTGTAGTAAACATCATAAATCTTTCATTAAAAGCTTATTTCAGATTCCAGCCATGTACTATTACCATTCTCTTTTCATAAGAGGGCAAGGTATATTACATGATTAGTGTTCAGTTAATGCTAAACACTATAGCATAATCAAATTTATTATGATTAACTTTTAGATAAAATCTGTTTGAAGAAGTTGTAAACCATGTAGCAAACATGTTCCTTCTTTGCAAATTAATTCTAAACCATAATTTAAAACAAAAACTATTACAAATTACAGTTGATCAGAATGCCCAATTAGTAATCCAAAATTCTGATTTGTGATTAAGGGCTGTGCTTCCAAAATTTCTGTAACTGAAGATATGAAAGCTTATTGGTTATCTATACTACTAGCACCTAACTCAGGTTTCATATGGAGGCACAGATGGCTAATTGGCTTCAGTTTGGTGGAGGGTCATTTAAATTAAATTTTACTTAAATTTATTATAAAAATTTTCAGAGCTATAATAGATGGCTAATGACAAATATGGCCCTTCACAGATGACCTGATTTCTATCATTTCCTCCTGCCCCCAGGCTTGATAGAAAAAGTGACAACTGAACTATCCACATCCATTTACCAGCTAATTGATGTCTATTGCAGTAGCTTTTATGCAGATTTCCAGCCTCTAAAAGCACCTGATACTGTTTCCTGTGTAAATCCTGGACTCCATTCCCACCTTAGCTTCACAGTGTATGCAGCTCACAACATTCCAGAGACCTGGGTGCACAGGTGAGTGGTAATGAATTTTTCACAAAAATGTTAAGTAATATTTACATGGCTTATAATTACAGTATAATTTGTTTTCTTATTTGCAAGGGTAAATGTTTTACAACATTTTGAAATCTAATGAGCATAAATTTATGCTTATTTATAAAGTAATTTTTAAAAACTTTGTTCTTAATGAGTATTCCTTTTCCCTCAAGTCGCCTCCTATTCTCCATATTAAAAATGAATGCATGTTGTCAATATATCATGATGGAAATGGAAAATGCTCATCCTACTTATTGACTGTCTTAACTTTTTCTTTTTTATGTTTGAATCTAAATGACTATTGGAAGTTCACAGAACACACACACAGGAAGAGAGAGAGAGGGAGAAAGAGAGAGAGAGAGAAGAGACATACAGAAAGATGGAGAGTAATTAAAAATAGAAAAAAAATCACTCTGATCCCCATCAAGTTGTGAGTAATAAATTTTTGTGAGATTAGTACCTTAATAAAGTGGAAATTAGCCAAGAGTTATTTGAGTTACAACAGAAATTAACCACAATTATGCATGGAATATCACCAGAATTTAGGTTGACTATTATGTAGTATTTTCTTGAATAACATAATTTAAGTAATATTATAATAATTTTTAAAATTTCTTAAGTCTATAAGATAATATGGATTACATCAATTAAAGTAATTTATTAATGGCTTCATTTTACCCACTGCATATAGCATCTGAAAGAAAATCTATGCGAGACCATTTTAGTAAAAATGGAAACAAATGTTATATTGGCCTGTATTTTTAAAAATAACTGCATTGTATACATATTTATAGAGTCAATTAGAATGAAAGTTTTACCTTTTTATGTTAAAAAAAAATCACCATCTACCTATCTATCTCTCTGTCTCTCTATCCACATTTCTTTAGAACCTGTGGGATGATGACTCTTTTATGCTTTTTCTCTTTCTTAATTTTATTTTTTAAAAATTAAAGAATTGATATATGAGCAGAATAAATTGCTGCCCTATTGGATGTCTTATACAGTTTTAAGTATTAATATATTTAACTTTAATTCACTTGGGAAAACTATGTAGTCAGATAAATACATATAAAGAAAGCTATATGCACAGGACATGGTATGACACTTAGTTTTGTTTATTTTTTCTATTATTTTTCTGTTTTATTTATTTCCGCTCTAATCTTTATTATTTCCTTCCTTCTATTAACTTTGGCTTAGTTTGCTCTTCTTTTTCCAGTTCCCTGAGTGTAAAGTTAGGTTATTTGTGATTTTTCTTCTGTAATGTAGGCATGTACTGCTATAAACTTTGTAGTACTGCTGTTGCTGCATCTCATACGTTTTTGCGTGCTGTGTGTTCATTTTCCTATGTCTCGAGATATTTTATAATCTCCCTTTTGATTTCTTGTTTGACTCACTGGTTATTCAGAAGGGTTCCTTTTCATTAATTTTTTTAATTTTCTAGTTTTCTTTCTGTTATTGATTTTTAGTGTCAATCTATTGTGATCAGAAGATGCATTTGGTATGTTTCCAGTCTTCTCAGATTTATGAAGACTTGTTTTGTGACCTAACGTGATCTATACTGGAGAATGTTCCGCATGCACTGGAGAGAAAGATGTATTCTCCTGCTGTTGGAGAATGTTCCATAGACATCGCTGAGGTTCACTTGGGCCACACTGTTGTGGAACCTTCCATTTCCTTACTGAGCTTCCTTCTGGTTCTATCCATTATAACCTGTATTGAGACCTTCTGATTATTATTGTGTTGATGTCTATTTCCCCCTTCAATCCTTTCGATGTTTGCTTAAAATATATTTGCTCCAATTTAGGGTGTGTAATATTTACAATTGTTATATGTCTTGATAAACTGACCCCTTTTTCATTATTTAATGTCCTTATCCCTTATGACAGTTTTTTACTTAAAGTCTATTTTACCAGTTATAAGTATGGCTACGCTTGCACTCTTTTGATCACCATTTGCATTGACATTCTTTTTCTGTCCTTTTACTTTCAGCCTATATGTGTCCTTAAATGAAAAGTAGACAGCTTATAGTTGGATCTTACATTTTTATCCACTCATTTATGCTGTGTCCTTGGTTTGTGGAGTTTAATCAATTTACATTCAAAGTAATTAATGATAGGGCAGTACTTTATATTACCATATTTTCATTGTTTTCTATCAATCTTATAGCTTTTTGTTCCTTTTTTTTCTCTCTTGCTGCCTTCCTTTATGTTTTGTTGATTTTTTGGTAACAGCAAGCTTTGATTCCTTTCTCATTTTCTTTTGTGGATCTTCTACCAGTAGGTCTTTTCTTTGTGGTAACCATGGTCTTGACATAAAACTTCTTATCTTTGAAACACTCTGTTTTAAGATGATAACTTAACTTCAGTAACATACAAAAACTCTACTCTTTTCGCCTTCCCTCATCATATATGTTATTAACATCACAAGTTACATCTTTTTATATTGTACATATTTTATTCATAGTTTTAGATTCTTCTTCTTTTATGTACCAGAGTTAAAAGTGTTTTATGCACCACCATTACAGTATTCCATTTTTGTATATATGTTTGTCTTTGCCAGTGAAACTTATATATTCATATGCTTTCATGTTACTATCTTTTATTCTTTTATTTCAATTTGAAGAACTCCCTTTAACATTTTGTGTAAGTCAGATCTTGGGGTGATGAACTTTACTCAGCTTTTGTTTATCTGGAAAAGTATTTATTTCTCCTTCATTGTTGAAGGACAATTTTGCCAGATATAATATTCTTAACTGAAATATTCTTTTTTGTTCAGAACTTTGAATATACCGCCCCAATCCCTTTTCGCCTGCAAGGTTTCTGCTGAGAAATCTGCTGGTAAACTTATAAGGTCTCTCTTTTTACATTGGCGGGCCACTTTTCTTTTGATGATTTCAAATTTCTTTTTATCTTTGACATTTGATTTGATTTTATTGTGTTTTAATCTGCTCTTCTTTAGGCTCATCCTAGTTTGCTCCTTTTGACTTCCTGAATCTAGACGTGCATTTTCTTCCCACAGTTGAGGAGTCCTCGGCCATTATTACTTCACAAAAGCTTTTTACCTCTTTCTCTCTACCTTCTTCTGAAACTGATATAATGTGTGTATTGATCCAGTTGATGGTGACCCAAAATTTCGTCACTCTTCTTTATTCCTTTTTATGTTGTTGTTGCTCAGACTGGATAATTTCAAGTGACTTACCATTAAGTTCATTGATTCTTTCTTATGCTTGATCAAGTCTACTCTTGAGTTACTCTAGTGAATTGAAAAATTTTTAATTTAGTAATTGTATTCTTCAGTTTCAAAATGTCTGTGTGATTCTTTTTTATATTTCTCTTTGTTAAAATTCTTTTTTTATGAGTCATTATTTTGTTGAGTATTTTTATGATAGTTATTTTGAATTCTTAGGTAATTCATATACTTCCATTTTTTTAAGGTCAGTCTATGGTGATTTATTGTGTTCCTTTTGTTGATCTACGATTTCCTCATTCTAAATGTGCTTGTTATTTTGTATGAGGATCTGTGCATTTAAAAAAATAGCCACCTTTCCCAGTCTTAATGGATTGGTTTTACACAGGGAAAGACTTCCCCAGTCAGCCCAGCTAGAGATCCTGGGACCTTTCAAACCTTCTTTGTGGGTGCATCTTCCCTGGACTTTTGTGTTTAAATTCCCAATTAGAGAAGGTTTGTTTCTTTCCTTAGGAGTTTTAATGTCTTTTTTTATTCTAGTGACCGTCTGTTCCGCTGCAGGTTCTCCGGTGCTCCTATGAGCAGTCTGGCTCTTTTTTGTTCTCAGCTCCTCCCAGGCATCCAGGATATGCCAGGTCCCATCAGTGTTTCCGAGATGGATGAAACAGAAACCAGTCCCTCGTGCAGCTCCCTGAAAAAGTCAGAAGTACATTCCATGTTTCCCATTTCCCTCTTTCACCCCCCCACCCCTATCGATGGAGAGGCCAGCAAGCTATATCAACCTCTCTTTACTGTCCCACACAGATCCTCTGGGGCAGCAGCAAGACACCTAGCTTGTTTTGTTCCCAGTGGTCCACAGTCCCCAGGCATCTGGAGTATATCGCATCCAGTCAGCTATCTAAAACAGGCAAGACAGAAACCAGCCCTTCAGGTAGTTCCCCTAAGCTGGAACACCGGATACATACTCCAACTCCTTCTCTCCCCAGGAGGAGGTCAGGAGTTGGTGGTTTCCTCCTATTTATTTTGCACTGAGCTGTGGGAGAAGGAGGGTGATGAGTGCGTATGTACTAGTTAAACGATCACTTTTGTTCTCAGAGGCCCCAAACGTGCACCCATTCCTATTCAGCACTTAAACAGAAACCAGTCCCTTGGATACTTCTCTAAAATGTCTGAACACTAGATATATGTTCGTCTTCTCTTTCCCACCACAAGGAAAGGCTGGGAGTTGGTAGCTCCATTTTGATTTGCTGAGTAAGATGCTCTGGAAAATGAATACAGTGAATTTTCTTACTGATTTCTATGTGGCTGGTTTTAAACTTACCTGTGGTGCAGGAGCCTCTTAACTTGTTTCTGGGTTGTTCACAAAGGCAATAGATCCACGTACTTCTGTTGAATTGGTGTCTCTGTGGGGGGAAGGATGCAGAGCATCTTATTCTGCCATCTTGCTGATATCACCCAACATACACACTTAAAGTAGTTTTCAAGTCATGCCTTATATAAGCAAACCACACTTTATCGCTTGACTTTTAACTATACCAATAATTGACCCATATAGAAAACTTGTTTCTTGTTTCAGCTTATCAAGTCCATGTTGTTTCTTTTCAGCTATAAAGCATTTTCTTTTTCCTGTTGGCTTACTTATGCCGGAAAGAAGCTATGCCAAGTGAGAAACCGCAGAAATATTCCAGTCAAAAAATTGTTTTTTTTCTTGGTCAACTGGAATGAAACGTGAGTTTAATCTTTACTCTGGCAGGATTATCGAATAAAGATCAGAGGTTTGTTTGCTTTGTTTAAGTGAAGCATGTGATTTTAAAAAATGTTGCCAGTTGATTTGATTTGGTGATGTGATAAATATGTTAGGGCTAATAGATAACTGACTGTTCAAATCAATAGAGTAAAACTCTACTTAAAAACCTAGACAAGTGTCCAAGCTACATTATCTAACTGAGAAGGAAGTTGGAAAAAGGAGAATTATTAATTATTCACAGACTGTGGATAAAACGAATACCCTCTATTTGGAGTTGAAGTGAGGTAGATTCCAAATATAATAAAGAAGAAAAAAATTACCAAGTAACATAGGTAATCTCTATTTTTCCACAAAAGCTAATTACAAATTTGTTTAAACAATCAAGTTTTTTGACAATTATCTATGTATTGAATAAACTGCCATCTAATTTGGGGTGTCTGGCTCCTGCTTCCCCATTTTATAGGGATTTATTACATTGACAAAGAGAAGTACTTCCTTGACATTACCATGACTGCCTTTTTTCCTGTTTCCCCACCTCAAGCTCTCACTTTACTCAGAATTTCAGGGGCTCTCCCTGGCCGGTTTGGCTCAGCGGTTAGAGCGTCGGCCTGCGGTCCAGAGAGGCCCGGGTTCAGTTCCTGCTAAGGGCATGTACCTTGGTTGCAGTTTGTCCCCAGCCCTGGTTGGGTAGTGCGGGTGGCAACCACTCGATGTGTCGCTTTCACATCGATGTTTCTCTCTCTCTCTCTCTTCCTTGCACTCCCTCCCACTCTATCTGAACAAAAAAATGGAAAAAATGTCCTTGGGTGAGGATAAAAAAAAAAAGGAAAGAGAATTTCAGGGGCTCATAGGCTCTATCTATGACTCTTTTCATGGCTACAGATTCATTTTCTTGCTGTTTCTATTACACCAGTCCACTGACATTCAGTCACTTCTATGGTTTTCCATTGTTCACTGAGAGCCAATGTTATTCCCATCTCACGTAGAAGAAACTTCCCAGTTCACTCCACATCAGACCTTTCAGAAGGTATGGCTCTTTAGGGAGATCATTTGACTCCCAATATTGTACTTTCCTATTGATAAATTGTCAACATTTCTAGAAGTTCTACAATGGCGTTAGCACTATTTATCTCTGTCTTAGTGTTATCTCAATCAATGGAGACATGTCCTGAGACATAGCATGTGGTTTTAAATTCTTACCTACTCCATGGTTGTTCAGTCCCAAAGTAAATCTGGGACTGGGACAACTTCTGTCTCCCCTGCTTTGGTTAAGATTCTTAATTACTTTGAACAAATCCCTTGCCTTCAATTATAAAATCCCATTCCATTGCACAGTCAGTTTGCTTGTAAAAGTTGTCGGTGGTTCCCCAATCCTATAAGGTAAAGTATACAAATAATTTAGCATTGCACACAAGGTCCTCTGTGGTTTTGCCCCTGCCTATCTCTGAACCTTCATCTCTGGAGTTAGCCCTACTCCTGCACCTCCACTCTGCCACTCTCTGCATCTGATCTACTTACCCTAAATATGAACCGAGAAATTACGCCTCTGCTAAGGGTCCTTCATCTGTCAAAAACACAATACCCGCACTGCCCACCTTGAGAACACCCAATTGTCTTTCAAGATGCTCTATAAACCCTTTTCTGTATCATTCAAAGAAAGTGGCCACCTTTTTGTTTATTGGTTAGTCTGAAATTCACACTACCCCCTTACCATCCTTTACTGAATGCATTTGTTTCTATTTCTGTTTGCTTCAGCCAAATAGCAAAAAGATGTATTTGTGTGTTTGTTTTTATTTTATTTTAAAATGTTTTATTTTATCTCTAGCAGCATAAACAGCACCATACAGAATAAGAGGTCAGTAAGTGTTGCTGAGCAAATGAATGAATTTTATGTAATAAGTGACCCATCAAAAATGTTATTAACCAGCTCAATTACTAAAATTATCCTTCTTAAAGTATTATCCTAAGCAAAACAAGCAAAACAGAGAAAGAAAAGTATCATATAATCTCACTTATTTGTGGAATATAATGAACATAACAGTCTGAGGAATGGGGTAGTCCCAGAGACATGGAAGTGGGGTACAGACTGACAATCCCTAGAAGAGGGAGTGGTGGGGGAGAGATAAACCACAGAACTTATATGCATGTATGCATGAACAATGGACATGGACAACAAAGCTGGGGACAGGGCGGAGAGGGCTGGGAAGGGCGAAATCGGTTGGGGAAAAAGGAGAAACATCTGTAACAAAAATAAATTAATTAATTAATAAAAAATTAAAAAATTATCCTTCTTAGTTAATTAAAACTTGTTCCGGGTTGTTTCAAGATATCAGGTTCATTTTCAAATGACAGCTATGTTTCATAATTTAAACAATTCAAGAGAAAAATCTAATTCTAAAGTCAGTTTCAAAGAAAGAAATCTCAAAATAATTAGTGTTATTGGAATAACTATCTTGATATATTTTTCTTCTCTTTCTTCAAGACTACTTAAGTGTTATACTTCCTGGGAGAGTTTCTTTGATTTCCCTAGTAGTTAGTTATTTCAACCCAGAATTATTTTCATTAAAAATCTCTATTTACCACTTTCTAAGTACCTGTGCATTCTTTACATATTTTATTAACATGTGCTGTTACACTATAATTGATTGTACATTTCATTACTGTACTGTAAATTTAAGGACAGAAACTGTATTGTTTCATAATGTGGCATAGATTTTGACCACCTATTAAATTTCAGCCATCACAGTATAGCTCCCAAATATATTATGTCATGTCAACTTAACAACAAAAATAACAGAGCAGATATTGTTATCTCCATTTTACAGTTCAGCATATTGATGTTTACAAAGATTAATTAACTTGCCCCAAGCTCCACAGCCAATAAATGGCAGAACTGGTACTCAGACCCACTCTGATTCCAACGCTAATATTTTGCTGTGATTTCCATACTGTTTCTTACAATATATCAAACTTAGGCAGAGTATTTATATTCTAAAATAGTTATCATATCTTAAGTTAAAAAACAAAACAAAACTCTCCTCCAGCAATTTTTAACCTTTTCATCTCATGACACATGTAAATGAATTACTGAAATTCTGCAGCACACCAAAAATATACAATAGAGATTTTGCTCATCTAACAAAAAACTGTAGATATAATTTTGATTGATTTAAAACACACACACACACACAATAATAATAGTAGTTGCCTTTTTGCTTCAAAGTTACTTTTTAAAAAAAATCAGTTCACCCTGACCAGTTTGAGTCAGTGGTTAGAACATCAGCCCAGTCAAGTGCATGTACCTGGGTTGCATGTTCGATCCCTATCCTGGTTGGATTCATGCAGGGGGCAACCGGTGGATGTGTCTCTTTCACACTGATGGTTCTCTCTCTGTCTCCCTCCCCCCCTTCCACTCTATCTAAAAATCAATGGGAAAATATCCTCAGGTGAGAATTAACAACAAAAAATAAAATTTAAAAAAAATAATAAAAAATCAGGTGCTATACTTGTATATAAGGACTTCTGGTACCAAGACTTAATTAATCAGATGCAACCTTATTATGCCACATGACGAATGAGAGGCAACTCTATTATATGACCTATATATTTATGGTTCAAGACGAGGCATTCAAGATGGCTATTTTTGTGTTGGCTGTTTTTATTTTTTATTTGACAGTCTAAGGGAAAAGAGAGCAGTGCCCCTGACTAAAGAGTCTGATATTGCATGTTGTAAAAATTCGTATGGCACACTGATTGAAACTCGCTGCTCTCTTCCATTCTTACGGACCCCCATTTTTTTCTCTGCTTTGCAGCAAAACCCTTCCAAAGAATTGTCTGTATTCATTTTCTTCCATTTTTTTCCTCTGTCTAAACCATATTTCAATCAGGCTTTCATCACCTCTGCTCCTTTGAAATTGCCCATGAAAGTCACCAGCGGCCGGCAGAGTTAAATCCAATGTTTGTTTCTTAGTCTTCGTCTTACATGCTCGATTAGGAATCACTGCACTGTTGATCTCACCCTCCGTTTGCAAATATGCTCTCCATTTGTCTCTCACCTTCTTTCAGCTTCATCCTCCCTCTTTAGACACACCTTCTCCATCTGCTTTTCTTCTCCCGGACTGCTAATGGTCTTAGCCCGTAAGCCTCTTCTCTGTTGTATCTATTCTCACTCCTTTAATTTGCTCTCATAGTCACATAGCTCTAACTGCCATCGTATAACAGCAACTTCCAAAGTGGTGTCATTAACCCAAGCATCAGTCACAGACTCCATATTGACACCTGCAATATGTCTAAGACTGAACCCTCGTTCTTATATTCCAAACTTTTTCCACCTAGAGATGGACACTCTGGCTGATCATTTTCAGTTCCAGTAGTTCAGGTCAGAGCCTTAACCTGTATCTCCTTCTCTCAGATACCATGCCCAGAAAATCCTACAGGCTGTCTCCTCAAAATAGTTCCAGGATGTTACTTCTCATCACTTTCTTTGGTCGAGACCACCATCATCTCTCCCCTGTCTCATAGTAGCTTTATAATTGTCACCCTTCTTCCCTTGTACCTTTATAATTTTTTTCACACTGCAGCTAAAATGACCTTTTTAAAAATGTAAGTCAGACCATGTTATTATCCTGTTAAAAATCCTGAAATGGCCTGGCCTGAGTGGCTCAGTGGTTGACTATTGACCCATGCACCAAGAGGTCGCTGGTTTGATTCCCAGTCAGGGCACATGCCCAGGTTGTGGGCCCAATCTTCAGTGAGGGGCATGCAGGAGGCAGCTACTTGATGTTCTCTCTCATCGATATTTCTATCTCTCTCTCCCTCTCCCTTCCTCTCTCTCTAAAATCAATGAAGAAAAAAAATTTAAAAATACTGAAATGGCTTCCTGTTACCCTCAGACAAATGTCAAAGTCCTTACAATAGTCTGTTGTTAAATATCAGTATTAAAGGAGAGTCCTAAAAACGTAACTTTTTTTTTATCATCCTCACCTGAGGACATTTTTCCATTTTTGTTCAGGTAGAGGGTGAGGGAGAGAGAGGAACAGAGAGAGAGAGAAACATTGATGTGAAAGGGACACATCGAGTGGTCACCACCTGCACAACCAACCAGGGCCGGGTACAAACTGCAACTGAGGTACATGCCCTTAGCAGGAACTGAACCCGGGTCTCTCCGGACTGCAGGCTGATGCTCTGACCGCTGAACCAAACCGGCCAGGGCAAAACGTGACTTTTTTAAACCTTCCATTTCATTATCAAAGTTTACTCTAATTTCAAGAGAACTATCTCATATAAAATAAAAAGTATGTTCAAGAAAAATTTAATGTTCACTCATTTTTCAGTAGTAGAGTAAGGAAAACACATGGTTAAAGCTTGTGGTCTATGCCAGCTGCTTGGGTAAAGAGAAGCAATCTGACTTCACTTACTGAATGGCCTCTTTTTTTTTCCTTCCTTTTTCTTTGTCTAAAAGTTCATTCCTTTGATTTTTTCAATAGCCATGTAGAAGCTGCAAAAAAAGATTTCCCAGTGAATGTGAGATTATTCTGGCTTTAAAAATCCATATGTATTCAAGAAAGAAATAAATAACTATTTAGAAAGTATGTATTCTTAACCCAGAAAAATTTATTTTTATTAATAAAAAATGACAGAATGGAGATTGGCAGTAACCATCCACTGTAACTTATCGAATTTTTGTCATTTTTAATATAAAAGGCTCACTAATAAGTGTGGTTATACATGAAAAAGCCAGACGCGATGGGGAAAAAAAAACAAAAAACATTCTATATTGTCTGAAGAATAAAGTGAATTTATAGCTTCCATTTCAACACAGAAATATGAAAACTAAATAGAAAGCCAATTACAGGTAAAAGAGAGAGCACATAAGAAATGCATTCCATAGGATCATTAACATCTTAGGTTGATTTCAGAGGTTCTTTTAAGCTGAGAAATATGCCCATAGTATCTTAAATGAATATGAGTATTAAAGAATATGGAAGAAAAAACTATTAGTTTTAGTTGTCTTTAGCTATCTAAACCAGTAACAATTTAATTTTTGATAATCTAAACTTTGCTAATCTTTAAAAATAGAATTTCTTTATTGATTAAATAAATATAATGCTGATATACAACCTACCATTTTCCATATATTGTGTTTTTCAGTATTCATTTTATCTCATGGATAAGGAAAAACAAGGCTTAGAAAAGTTAAAGTCATTGCTCAAGGAAGAATTATTGGTCATAGAGCCAATATTTGAATGCAATTATATCCAGATCCAAACCTCTGACTCATTCTCTTCACACATAGTTTATATATTGACATATCAGAGTTATTCTTAATTTAATGATATCATGTCCTAAATTACCTAGTTCAGTTAAAGGTATCCACCATAATGTAATCTAGGAGCCTAAAATTCTTCATTGTCCTATTCCACTAATATGCTGTCAGTCAAATATTAATTATCCAGTTTACCTCTAAAATAGTTCTTTCTGTCTTTCCTCTTGTTATCTGCTTTATTGCCACCTGGATCTGGACCTCTTCATCTCTGGGAATAGCATCTTGAAGAAAGGGATTTGTATGTACTTCCTCAAAAGCAGTCGTGGTCACTGGGCTAAATTAACCCCTCCTTATTCCTGAGGCTCATGCTGCCAGCAACTCACAAACAGGAGTCACCAATGTCTTATTTGACACTCTGAGTAAGGGCTGCTCCCTAGTGTCCTGATTATACAGCCAATTCTTAGTATGAGAAAATGTTTAATAATACACGAGGCCTCGGCTGGGTCGACCTCAGTCGGCACCTTCCAATTGGATTAATAGGCTTTGGTTATCATCAGTCCTCTGATAATCACCCATTGCTTAAACAAGTTGACATCAAAGCTCAGCTGGGACATACAAGGCCAGTGGATCATGTTCATACTCCGCATACCTAACACCATCACATTTCATCCAAGCCAAGCTGCCCATTTGCTCTTCCAGCCACTTTTCTCTTTCTTCTTCCCATCCTTTGGTGAATCTGTTTCCATGAATCTGTCCCCATCTGCCTATTTCTGTTCTAATTTTCCTATTTCTCTCTAGTCTTCTCATCTCCTAGTAAACATATTCTTCCATCTCAGTCTTTTGAAAATATATCTTTCATTTCTTTGTCTCACAAACAGATCTTTTCTAAATACCATACTTATCTTGAGGCTCTTACAATAGATCCTTATCGTTTCTACATAACTGGTATGACTCTGTCCACCATTAGGGACCTCAGATCATACTCTCAACTTTCCATCAAAAGCTCTTCTTAGATATGTATACTACCCAGGTTTACCCTTCCCAGTCTTACAGTATCATTTATAACCTTTAGACATTCTTTTATATGTCCTGATGGATTCAATACCCAAATTCAAGTTTTTCTCATCATTACCAAGCCTGTGTTTATTCTTAGCCACTTTTTTGCCTGTATGTAAAATTCATTCAGGGTCTGAGTTTGGAGTTATTTCTTCATGACATATCTAGAAATTGTATGTCGAGTGCATTTCAGCAATCATCCCCCAAATTCCTGTGATCTCATAATAACCCAGAATAGTCTACATTTAAAATTATTACAACTTTCTATACTTTTAACTCTTTTAAATATTTCATGAAATATTTCTTTTGGCCATTAGGAAAAGCTTGAATTCCTTTGTCTGGTATACACAGCTCTTAAGCATTCTGACAACCACCTATTTTTCTAACTGTATCCTCTGTAACTTTTTCACACCTTGACCACATCTCTTGTTCTAGCCACAATGAGCCACTCATTATTTATCAGCTACACTGAATCTTTTCATGCATATATAACCTTGTCCATGCACTTTTCTCTTCTTAGACCATTCTTCTCTAAAACTCCATCTGATTATGGCCAAATTACCCATTTCATACCTTCCCCCATTCTCTAAGACAATGTTAACCATTCTTCCTCTGTGCTTGTAATGGGTAAATACTCAAGTTATCATAATTTTTTACAATAAGCTTATGTATAAAAATTATAATTTTAGCAATCCTCATTGATTTAGTAACCAATCTCATTACTTATGCACTTCTGTTATATTCCTATTTTTACAAGATTAAACACAAAAGTATAAGAGGATGCTTCAAATATTTATAAAAATATCATCACAATTAATAATATACTTTATTTTATTTTAAGGATCACTTTTCCTCTGGAAATAAAGTCACTTCCAAAGGAGTCCATGCTCACTATAAAACTGTTTGGGATTGTCTGTGCAACAAACAATGCAGAGTTATTGGCCTGGACTTCTCTTCCAATGTTTCCAAAAGAGTAAGTATATAACTTGTGATAAATATAGTTTCCATCTCAATTAAAAAAAAAAAAAAAAAAAACCTCCCTGAAGCTAAATATTAGACAATGTATAACATAATGGGAAAATCAAGAAGATATTTTATCCTAAAATTGAGGTAGCTCAATATAAATTATGACTATTGAAAGTGGGATTAAAAAAGGAAAATGTAGAAATTGGTTTGAAAATAGACCTCATGCTCAACTTGTCAACTGGATCATTTACAATGAAAAAGGTACTGGCATGACCCATTACAATTGCTTTTCCTTCCATAAGCAACTAATTTCTCTGCATTTAGTACTTCGAAATTATTTAGCTCAATTTGGTCATCTAGAAACAATGTAAATCATGAAATTCTGGCTAAAGTAAAATTACACAATGTAACACACTGGTTTATTGACCTTTTATTGCCAAGAAGACATATTTGTAATTTTAAGATGATATTTTTCAGGAAAGTAAGCCAACCATGAGTTCATATATTCTATTAAAACTAATGGCCATTGCAAAATTAACTGATGATTTAACCATAAGTATTTGGAACTATTAATACTTCAGATATTTGATGGTTAACTACCTGATTTTCTATGCTCTTAAGGAAAAATGTTTCAAATAAATCAGCTTAGTTATTTTTCACAAGGCAAGGCTTACTTTAAAATAAAATTGTAAAATATAGAACCTCTGAAAAATTAGAAACTGTATTGTTATTTTAATGGTGTTATAAAGAATGTTTCTGCCACTATTGTTTTAAAAAGATTTGGTAACATAATATGGTAAGAAAATTCTTCATCAGTTTTTAGTTCCCACATTTAGTCACTGTAAATAAATTATTATCAAAAAAAAAACATCATGAATCTTTAAAATTGTTTTTGTTGGATTAGTTCTGACCTAGTGTGTGTGTGTGTGTGTGTGTGTGTGTGTGTGTGTGCACATGCGCACACATGCTGTTCTATTATTTGTTTTGATGCTGTAATCCATTTCTATGTATATGTTTCATGAGGACAGGGAATGGATTTATCTTTGTAATATCTATCAGCTAACATAGTACCTCATAACTAGGCAATCATTAGAGGTTTGTTTACTAAATTGAATTGGGACAAAGATAAATTCCTTTAAGAAATTTAGAGTGGAAATAAATTTTCAAAAGTCTATAAGAAATAGTTCTGTCCTTAAAGTAATACCTAGTGCTGTTAACAGATATTTCAAAAATCTGATTTGTGGTTTAGAACTTTCATTACTTTCTCACTAGGAGCAGCTACACAGGTGCCCTTGCCTTTGATGAGTGAGTTTCTTTAATGTTTCAACTGCAGTATTTGTAAGATCCAGCATGTTGGTGGAATAATATTTCTAGTTATTCACTGAAAAAAATTCAATCTATTTTATTCTCTTCAATCATCTAACACACTACGTTGCACATAATAAGCAATCAATAAATATAAAGTATATAAGAAAGTTTAAGATAGTATTGTCTTTCAAACTCATCTTCAAGGCATTTTTCTAAATGGGTATAAGAGTAAAACTACTGCCTCCATGTTGTTTTGTCATGTGTCACTTACCACTGGTAAACATTTTACATGTAAGTAATCAAAGTGGTTATCTTTGAGTAATGCCATTTGGGACTGATATTAGGTGGTGTTTTCTTAAGGAAAAGTGTCAAAATTATGTATGATGAGACATCATGTCAGAAAGCACAACTTATTCCAATGAGCACTTCAATAAGCACTTGTAACTATATTTCCAAAAAACCATTTCTCATCAAAATCAGAAGATCTACCTCTGTCTTTGGTTAAACAATTTAAAGAAATCCAGTTCTTTTTAAAACATCACAAATCCATCACTGGGGCAATTGGGAGATGCCACTGTGCTCATGGCTCCAAGTTACAGCAATTCTCACCCAATTCATCTGAAGCAGACATTTCCAGATTACAGGAAATAGGCCACTTAATTTTATCCTCTTCCACGGAATGACACTTGCCCATAAACATTTGGTATTGAATCTGTCATTTATTACATTTTGAATTGCCCGTATCTAGCCATGTGGAATTGTAATGAGCACTTATGTCTTTATTTTTTCCAACACATATACAACCATAAAATGTGCAGAATTGAAAGCTTCCTATCTCTTTGTGGTTTCCAGAAGTGGGTTTCAGAAGAATCGATGGTGATTAAACTGAGCTGTATCAGTTATGGTTGCATCAAGGATGTCTACAAATAAACATCGACTTCGACATTTTTAAGCACACAAACTCACCTTTGAGCCTATAAAAATATGTCACAAGTACAAAAATAAAATTTGCCCCACAGAAGTTTTATAATCCTCCCTTTTGCGGACAGAACTTCCACTGCATCCAGGCTGTGCTCACAGTGCCTTCCCACTGCTCTAAGAAAGTGTTATTCTCACCTCAACAATTTTTATGAGCTGCTTTTCTACTTACATTCAAAACAAGTAGTGTAGTAGTAATGTAGCACTTCTAGATCGTGGTAAATTCCTTCAAGGCAGAGTTACTCAGCCCTGAATGAACAGTTTCCTGGGGGGACCACCAACACTCTTCTCATCTTAATTCCACTAACCATCTTCCTTATCCTCATAGTTTCTATTTACAGAAGTCTATGGAAATGTATTCTTTTCACCATGCTTGCAATATCTTAAAAGATTTTTAGGTGCAGTCCTTTGTCAGAAAGTAAGTCAGCTGCTATGAACCATGCAGAGAGTCCAGAGAATGGTGCCAACCGTCCCTTCCTCCTTGAATTGCCTCGAAGTGTATATTAGATCAGCCTCAGTCTGACAGCTAGAAGTTCATTCTTTCCATGCCTTTTTGCCCTCACACACATGGCCTCCTAAGGCCATGGTAACCACTGATGCGGAATTCATCCAAGGAGAGACATGACAGACACTGACTTATTCTGAAGTCACCTCATCCCCTGTAGAAATCAGCTTAGATCACTCAGTGTTTCAGAGTGAAACATGGCCAAGATGTATAAATATAGTAAGGCCAGAAATATAACTCATTATACCACTTAGATGCAAAGAAAAATGCCATTAATATATCATACTTTTCCTCACAAGCTCCTACCCTGTACCTAATGAGAGGAAAATTTTCCACTGATGGCAAAATATTAGTCAATTCAGTAATTTAAATAGTCTCTTTAGAAGTATGCTGTCTCTTTTGAATAAAATGCTCAGCCAGTCAGGCATCCTCCCAACAAGCTGATTCTCTTCCTAAGAGGATATCTGGGTACACACGGTCAGAAAAGAAACAGGTTCTTTGGCCTGGTGACTTGATCTCTGGTATCCAAAGCAAAGGCACTTTTGAAGCTGTGGCTACTTGTTGCAGCGAGTGTAACTAGTGACTGGTTCTCTCCCAGCTTGACCAGGGCTTACTGACTCTCCCTGGACGATGTGCTCTCCTGCTGGCCCCATACACCCATCTGAGGTTTACTTGCGACTTCTGTTTGGCCTCATCTTATCCCCACTCTTATCACAGAGATCCCTTATTCCCATCATCTGACTCCCAATTTTGAAAAACCCCTCATCAGATATATTTAGCTTTTTCTAGATTCCATCTTTTCTATAGAAAAACCAAAGAAGGCCCAAGAAAGCTAAGTTCAGGAGTATCTTCTGCCTGTTTGCCACATGGTCCCAAGCTTAAGGTTGTACCACAAGTTGGTGCAGGAACAGCCCAAGAAGTGTTTTTTTTTCCAGGATCTTAAATATGGTGTTCAGAAAAGAGCCCCTCTGCCTTCAGCATTATCCTGTATTCACTGATCCAACAGTCCTCCCCACCTGCCTTCCGGAAGAGGGGGGACTTGGAACATCTATGTCTGCCCTACTCACTCTGTTCCCTCTTTGTCTTCTGGTTCCCATCACCCCAAATTGCCAGCAAGTGTCAGTCTTTTCTTTGCCTCAGTCTCCATTTCATGTGCCACATCCTCCTTCTTCACTCCTGTTAACCCTTTACGTGGACAGGAATATTTTCTACAAATACCGTGGAGAACATTAACGTCCAAGTCCTCCAAGTTTGGTGTTAGAGCTTCTCCTCTTTCCTTTTGCATTAATCCAAAACTTTCCCGAAGCAGATGGATACTTCCGACCATTTCAGAGGAGGTTATAAAATGCAAATGGAAAAAGAAAAATCACATTAATAATTTTCTAATGTTTACCCCATTAACCTAATGTTTAGCTTGCTAATACGGCCCCCTTGGTAATGTTATACAAAAAAAAATCCAAGATGAGGGAGGGATGAAACAAAAGGAAAAAGACTCAAAATTCATTCTGCTAGAAGAATATTTTTTGGTTATTTTAAAAATATCAGCCCAATAATGATACTGCCTTAGGTAGACACTTTCTAAACCAAAGGTCTAAAGAAAGCTTTATCTGCTGGATTTTTCATCACATTTTACATGTCTGTTAAATGGTAAGATGGAATTCTATGTTGTTTTCAAAAGAACTCATCTGCTGCCTTACAATTCTTTATAAACAAATTTAATTTTATTGCCTTTCAGTTCTACATTTTTAATTTGGTATGTTAAAATCAAGAGCGGTTCTCGGTGATCGTTGGAACAGCTTACCAATAATTGAATTCAGACATACAGCCAGGTAGAGCTTCCTTTTTAATTCCTGTAAGGATCTCCATGGATTTGGATGTTACTGAAGTTGTTAAAAGCATCCATGAATACTTCCTGTTCAAAGTCTTTCCTGTGTGTAATCTCATTTACTATGGTAATTTGTAATATAGTTTCAAAGATTCAGAATACAAATGCTTTTTCTTATTTATGCATAAAGAAGCATTTCTTCTGTGAAGTCCCACAACTATTTTGATTCTGTAGATCATATGCTAATTTAATTATTTTCTTTCTCTAAATTTAGAGCTCATATCTTTTTAGATGCCCAGGGAATTTAGTCATTCTGTGGGGTAAAAAAAAAAAAAAAATGTTCTCAAGAGTTAGCCATTGTGAAAACAACTTTGTCATGTAGTAACTAAATATAGATAGCTACAAACACAGTCATGCATGTGGGGTATTAGAAATGAATTATTAATCAATATCTAGGCTTATGAAACATTGTATTTCTCTTCTTGCTATTAAATGAAGCCACTAAAGTAGTTGATTATGTTTATATTCCAAAAGAAAACATTTATAGATTACAATAGTTTCCCTCATGAAGTGACTTTTGTCTATACTGTGTTTTCTTTTGCAGCAAAGTCATTCTTGGGTCTGTGCTATTTAGCATGGCATTACAGAGTGAGCCTCCCATAGAAATAATAGCTCCAGGAGTGTGGGATATAAGTCAGCCATCCCCAGTGACCTTGCAGGTAAGTGCTAGCCTATAAGATTAAAGTACACAAGGCAAGTATTGGTTGATAAGTAGTTTGTTGTCAATTACAGAGACAATTCTCTTCTAGGATCACACATATTAATAGTCTTCTTTTGCTCTAGCTGCTGGGATTTGTAAAATCTCTACAGCTTTTATTTTGTATCCAATACTCTCAAAGTATTTTTCTCCCAGCTTATATAATAGCAATTTCAAGCCATTCTCCATCCAACAGGATCATGAAGGAGAGGGATGGAATGTTGCCATTAGAATACTCATTATGTGCATTTTTTTTTTCCATGTCTGAAAGCAGTCTTGGTACATATTATTAACTTGCTACCTTATTCACACCTGCCTCTGCATTGTGTCATGTTCCTTAAAATCTCTTGTACATTTTCTAAATGACTAGCAATTAGCTGAGTAGTGGGGGAGAAACTGCAACAAAATCCATCAATTATACTCTCTTTTTTTTTCAAGCCTTTCTACTTTTTGTTCTCATGAATGAAAGGTGGTTAATGATTTCAGGCTTTCGTTCTTACTGGTGAAAACTCCTTATTTGATCATGATTATAAGGGATTATATATGTCAGATACCTGAGACATAGCCACTCCCGTACATAGAAATGTAGGGCGTATAGATTTTTTCTTTTCTATATGAAAAACTTGGAACTGCTTTCTGGGCAGTAATCTCTAGAAAAGGATTTTTCAGCTTCTGTATTATTGACATTTTGGACCAGATAATCCTTTATTCTGTGCATCATAGGATATTTAGCAGCACCTTTGTCTTCTACCCACTAGATGGCAGGAGCGCCTCCCCAGTTCTGACAATCAAATATGCCTTCAGGTAGTGTCAAACGCCCTGTAGGGATAAAATTGCCCTCAGGTGAAGATCAGTGCTTCCAGAGGATGCTAGTGGAGTCTCTAGGCTTTTAAGTTTCTAGGTTTGGGTTGAGGGATAAAGTTTAGCAAAATGAAAAACCAGATGCTAAAAATGGAAGACAAAAGTAATACTAACAGAAATGTGGCTTCCACTCTGAAGGAGGGAGGAAGTCCTCACCAGATGGTAGCCAAAGATCCACTTCTAAGCTGTGGACACAATGATAAAAAAAAAGGTAGGTGTTCAGGTTGAACGTTAGCACAGTCACAGACACGCAACTTATGGTGGCGTACCAATTAGCAGATGTTCCATTGTAACAGGACAGCTATCTTTCTTTAAGAAGACGCATGCATTTTTTTTTATCAGATCATTTCTTGCCAGATACACATCATCTCAGCTTAACACAAATCTTCCCAGTCTGATGGTTACCAGAGCTTTGTGGATATAAATTCATGATTGCAGGGCTATGTAGTGGCAGCGGTGGGAGAGAAGTAAAGGAGACTGCCAGGTGAGACTGTCCTTGATTCTTCTCAGATGGGGGGAAGCTGCTTCAGGACACAGGTCCTGGTAAGTGGAATTTGAAGAGAAGTCCAAGTATTTTACAGCAGCATAATTTCCAAATAGATATCTGGAGCCATACTGAATTTATCTTCCAAAGGGGGGAGAGAGAGGGGGCATGTACATATTCAACAGTATGCAAAAAAGTTAGATCATTTGACTTGTACAATATCATTTCAAACGGTATAGTCCTAAAGGGAAACTTTCAAATGGTCTTAATTGGTGATGAAATATATAAAACAAAGTAAGAGTCATTAAAGTTAAAACCCTTAATAACCACTATCATTCTAATTACATACAGCTAAATTTAGAGCAAACTATTGCAACCTAAATATCATAAGACAGCGAGGAAATTAGAAGTTCTGCAATCAGTGTTTACGTTAAGGAGTCAGTGTGAATCTCAGAAAAACATATCAGGCTGGGAGTTAGGCAATCTGGATTCTACACTTAGCTCTTTCACAGAAAACATAATGGCTCTGAAAGTCACCTAATCTTCTATTTTCTCCTATGCATTATGCTCTGCATGCCTGAGTTCTCCCAGGTCTGTACTTTTTTTATTGTCTTTGTCAGATGGGTAGTTATTGCCACACTGTGGCCAAACCAGTATGATAAGCGATATGGCATGCCACAGAACCTGATTCCTTCCAGTCCATCACTTTTGGCAGGTTCTGTTGTTGATTGGCCTACTGGAAGCAGTGGATAGAATGAAGTAGATCTGGAAGGATTCTAAAATGACAGCAGAGTGAATGCCAGCTACAGAGGCCATCTCTCATGATCAAACTGGAATTACAATTAAAACAAAGACAAATTGTCAGGGAAAACCAATATAAAAGCAGCTGGAGAAGATCCATATAACCACGGTCAGAAAGAAAACACGAAATCGAGCATGGTAGGAACAGTGGAGGTGTCAGAGGGAAGGCTGGGAGCCCATGGACCGCAGCTGTTTTAGCTGTGAGCAATGCCCTCGGGGTTAAATTTCCAAGCAAGCTCCACAGTACAGAGTGCTAGGACACAGCCCTAAATTAGGTATAGCCACTCACCTTGGGCTCAGGCAGAGGGAGGGCAGAATGGTTTGAAACTGTATGAAGAGACTCTGGAGCTCAGAGAGCTGGGGCAGCAGTGGGAGTTTTTTTGCAGAGTCACTGCCTCACAGGACAGTAGCCAATTACTCAAAGAGCCCCTTCCCAGAGCTCTGGGGAGAAGTAACAGACCCTCCCTCAGGAATTTAACACTACCCGGCCAGGCCAAAGGAATGCAAATTGAGGCTCATTAACAGCCAGCAAGCACCTGACCCACCCTCTGGAAATCCTCTTACCCTGAACACCTGAGGGAGTTTCTCATTCAGCTGAGGGCTACAACCCAAAGCTCATCAAGTAACTGAGACTGATAGCCTCCAGGCAAAAAGCTAGAGGATAACCGAACCTTTCCTAGGGTTGCAAATCAACCCAGGAAAGTAAGACTTGACAGTGGTGTTTAACATGGGTCCTACCACACTCATCCAAACCCAATATAGGGAGCCACAACCAGTGGAACATCAACACCCACAGGGAAAATTTGGCAGGCTCCAAAACCCACTGAAACAGCTACCAAAATGGAGAAACAAAGAAATACCAAATGAAAGAACAAGATAATTGGACAGAAGATGAAATAAATGAAAAGGAATTGAGCAAGATATCAGAGGGCAAGTTCAAAGCAATAATCATGAGGAAGCTCAACAGCATGAGTAAAGATATAGAAGCACTGAAGACCAACCAATGGGAAATGAAGAATGACATACAGTGATACCTCGGTTCTCGAACATAATTCGTTCCAGGAGGACGGTCGAGAACCAAATTGTTCGAGAACCGAAGCAATGAAACCCAATAGGAAATAATGGAAACTGGATTAATTCGTTCCAAGCTCCAGAAAATGCCTATTTACTGGCCTAATTTGTATATAATATGTAGAAAAACATAAGTCTCAACAAGAAATAAAAGTGTACAGTATGTCTAAGGGTTAAATTCAGTGTAAAGCGTGACTCTCTCCACAAAGCGTGACTCTCTCCACAAAGCGTGACTCTCTCTCTGCACTCACACTGATGACGCAAGCAAGGCGCGCTGGGCCGAATGAACGCCATTCGGCTCAACTCGGCTCATCTCGGAAGTTCGAGTTCCAAATATTTGTTCGGATTCCAAGACAAAATTTTCTCGAATCTCCTGGTCGATTACCGATTTGGTCGAAATCCGAGGCGTTCGAGAACCGAGGTATCACTGTATCAGAAATAATGAAAATATTGGAAAGAATAACCAGCAGAGTAGAGAAGGCCGACCATTGGATCAGTGAATTAAAAGACAGGGTAGAAAAAATCGCCCAATCAGAGAATCAAAAAGAAAAAACAATTAAAAAATAGAAAGACAGCCTAAGAGAACTGTGAGAAAATATGAAACATAACAACATCTGCATCATAGGCGTTCCAGAAGAAGAAGAAAATGAGCAAAGGTTAGGGAATATATTTGAAGAAATAGTGACAGAAAACTTCCCTAACTTGGTGAAGGAAATAAGCATACAAGTATAAGAAGCATAGAAAGCCCCAAGTAAGAAGAACCCAAACAGGCCCACACCAAGATACATAATAATTAAAATGCCAAAAACTGAAGACAAAGAGAAAATCCTAAAGGTAGCAACAGATAAGCAACAGGTTATCTACAAAGGAACCCCCATAAAGCTATTAGCTGACTTCTTAACAGAAACAGAAGGAAATGGCATGAAGTAATCAAAGTAATGAAAAACAAGGATCTGAATTCAAGACTACTCTGTCCAGCAAGTCTATCATTCAAAATAGAAGGTGAAATGAAAAGCTTCCCAAACAAAAAGGGCTGATGGAATATATTAGCCCAAACCATACTGCAAAAAACATTGAGGACTGCTGTCATTAGTAAAAGAAAAAGGAAAAAATATATAACTTCAATAAACAAAAATGGACATAAATCAGTACATATGAATGATAACCTTAAATGTAAATAGATTGAATACTCTGATAAAAAGACACAAAGTAGTTGATTGGATAAGAAAGCATGACTCATACAAAAGACCTACCACACAACAAAAGACTCACATAGGTTGAAAGAGAGGGATGGTAAAAAATCTTCCAAGCAAACAGAAAGAAAAAAAGAGCTGGGGTAACAATGCTCATATCTGATAAAAATAGACTTCAAAATGAAGGCTATAACTAGAGACAAAGAAGGCCATTACATAATATTGAAAGATCTATCCAACAGGAAGATATAACCTTAGTAAACATATATGCAACCAACATAGGAGCACCAAAATATATTTAAAAACTTCTGGAGGGCTTCATGGAGAAATTGACAGCAATACGATCAGAGCAGGGGACTTCAAAACCCTACTGACCTCACTGGATATATCCTCTAAATAAAAAATTAACAAGGATACAGAGATTCTAAGTAATGCACTAGATCAAACAGATTTAATAGATATCTACAGAGAATTATACCCCAAAACTACAGAATTTACATTCTTCTCAAGGACACACTAGACATTCTCAAAGACAGACCACATGTTAGGGCA